TTTATAGCGGATGGTAGGATTTTTCTAACGGCAATAACAAATTCGCAAGATCGCAAAAAAATATGTATTTAAACTGAATACGAGAATATCGGTCGGAGACCGAAGACTTTTTGATCGAAACTGCGGTTTCGATTCATGATCTCTATAGTGACACCGCGTGTCCCATCACTAATTAAATATTAACTCGCTAATTATACGACATAATTCATCCAAAATCAATAGGCTTCTGGTCCGAGATATGATGAATGCACATGCAAAATGCAGATTCAACCACGCCTTCGTGAGATATCGCGTGCATCTAACAGACAAATATCTATCAACATACTTACCGATCTAAAGATCAATAAGTAATAATCGGGCGATATCGTCTCACATTATTATGTTTGCAGATTGCCGTGCATTAAAAAGTAATGCTTTCATCTTGTCATAAATCGACGCGACCGCGAGTGACCATGAACACAATTAAATTAAAATAGAAAGACATTTTAAATTCTCGTCGTTGTCATGGATTGGATTTTGAGCGACAGAAAAGACTACTTACAGTTTACACACTAAAAAGTTCGGCTTTTTTAACAAACGCGTAATTGCGACAAATCTTCGATTTTGAAATTCGTTAAAATTCTGTTGTGTTGGTTTCATTACTTCTACACACAGTGTACGGTTGCAATAAACGCACGTTGAGTCCGCGAAAGTTTTCGCAAGAGAGAAAATAGTCCGCGACCCAAAAAGGTTGGGAAACGCTGATTTATAAGAATAGGTAATGAAATGAAATTTCAATTGCCGCCTCGTTGCCACGTTTCGACACTAATTCATTGATATGTTTGTCAAGTGTCAAATTCACTTGTGCTTGTGGTGGGAGTAGTGTAGGACAGGGCTACTGAACTGGCGGATCGCGGTCCGAATCAGGAGCTTTCGACCATTTAATTTGGATCGCATCTGCTTGTTGATTTTGACAGCATTAGCATCGTTTTTATAGTTTTTGATGATTTTATTACAATTTAAATATACAGCCATACAGTTTGTCGTACTGGTACCGATGTACGACATTTGTGTCCATATTTTCAAGCCATTCATTGCTCTTGTATTTAATTTAATATTGCATTTGAAGTTTCATTTATTTGATGAAATAAATTTTCTGTAATATCTGGATCGCTGTAATTTTGAAGTTTTGTAAACGGACCTTTGAAGAAAATAGTTGAGTAGCCCTGGTGTAGGATGAAGATGTCCCATCAGATGTGCCTGTGTTAAAAGTAACGTCGGGCACGGATCGCAAAACATATTTTCATGGGTTAACAAAAACTTCATACTAAAAATCTCACCACGGAACATGGCTCTCGGCGATGCTGACAATAAACCAGTGTTTTCTTGTTTCATTTTTATGTACCACCCAAATGGATACGTTTCATTTTCGGCTCGTGCAAAAAATATTAATGAAACTGGTGTTTCGTGTTATATGAAATAAGTTTCAGTGTTCATTACTAATTGGGTGCCAACTGCCAAGTTATGATTAATGTACATGATTTTTTTTAAAACAGTTCTTGAACCTACCAACATCTATAAGGAGGGTCAAGATGATAGGTCATAAAGAAAAAAGCAAACCTTCGAGTTCTGAGTCTTCTGGCAGACTCGTATTATTTTCTCAAATACTGAGGCACCACGGAATGATCGACTTCAAAATTTCTGTGGCGACTCCTTTCCTTGGTGCCCCGAACAAGTGCTTATTTTGCCCAATGATCAATCAAGGCCTATTTGTCGGCATTATATAAAGCCTTATCATGTATATGCCAAGTAATCAGAAGACAAAAAAGCATTTATATATTATATTATAATAATATAAAACTTGGAAAAATTGGCTCTTTAACCACTGAAAATTTCAAATTAATTGATCTGGTTGATTTAAATTAGTCATATCATTAGAGTGAAAGAAGTCATATCTTCAAGCTTGCAAAAAAATGGAAATTTTTCACTATCGTGCGTATTTCACTGCTTCCCATCTCTTCTACATATATTACAAACGTGTTAAGTATCTTTTGATAGAATCAATTTGTGACAGGTGCTTATTGGATTACATCGTCTTCAAGAGGCTGGACATTTATTTATTTTGCAAAAACTCGTTGTCTGTTTGTTTAATTAATGAATTAGTGAATTACTGTTCTCAGGCTTTTGTCTTGTCTATCTCCAGAAGGTTTTGCTTAGAGTTTTTACAAACTATCAATTGATCATGACATGATGTACATCTACAGAAGTCAAACTTGCTTTTGATTTTGTATGCATACCAGTCTGAATGTTATTAATCAGACATACAAATAGTGTCAAGCGAGCGAACTGCAAAAGTCCCTTCTATAGTGCCAGCCTGATGATGCCATTAGCTTTAGATGCAATAGGTTCCTTAAAACTCCATAAATGGATGATTTTCCTTGGACGGGACTAAAACAGTCGAGAATATGACAGGCGAGTACATGACAGGCCATTTAAATCATCGTTTATTTGGCGCTGTGTGGAGCAGGAATAGTTACGCTGTAAAATCGAAAATGGCGAAAACCTTATATCAGGGATGGCGAACCTTTTTCAATGAATGGGTCAAAAATTGTAATTTTATCGCGTAACAGAAGAGAGTGTGTCACAGATATTTAATTCACGTTTGTATTTATAAGAAACTTCTGAAACAAATCGTATAAGCTGGTGTAGTTTTGGGCTTTACTCATGCAGCACTTCTATCAGGGACTTTTTATGGCACTCGATTTTATGATATTAGAGTACGAAAATGACACATATGAATTACCAAAAACGTTTAGGATAATGCGTTAAATTATTTTACGGTTCTAGTGTTTGGAGGTAATTCCGCTTTGATAGTGTTATAATTTTCGATCAGCTTCCAACCACATTAAGCCACTTTTACACTGCCCCATTGTTATATCAGATTTCTAGATTTTTATTTCAAGTCTGAAAGTTTTTGTTTCGACAACGGCATTGTAGGCGAGAAACTAATAAAATGCAAAGTAGCATCTAGTTCTCGTATAACCCCTAAAACAGTCTGCAGATGGCACTTCCAAAAAAGACGGGCGTTGCGAGAAATGAACAGATCAATTGCATTGATATGTCATAAACGATGTCAGGCCCAATTAGACTGAATAACGGTACACAGCGGTGCATACATGCGTACAAGATTAGGGGTTTTGTAAATCACCATACCGGCCCGAAAATCAACACTTTGAACATGAGCGATCGCAGCCCTCCCTGACTGTCCAACTGACGGTACATTATAATAGTTTAGTTATTGTTAGATTAATTTAAAGCCGTTTTATCATTTTTTATCACTGATATGTTAGCATTTTTTTTATTTCATTCGTGCCTTCGCTTGGCGGGTCACAAATAAAAAGCGGTAGGTCACTTTGTGACCCGCGGGTCAGTGGTTTGCCATCCCTGCCTTATATTATATGGGAGATTTTAACGCACAAACAAAATGTGGCTCAGGAAATATTCAGAAACATTTTATTCGGCCTAAAGTGTAAGTTCCAGCTTGATATTTGGTATAATTTCACACTTGCATTTATAAATGTTAAATAGACTCATAGATACATAAATGGCATCTTTAAAATCTTTTGTAAATTCCCTTTTTCTGTTTAGAAAAGAATATGAAAGCGTTTTATTGATCCTTACTAACTGGAAATATTTTGCCTTTTATAATTGATTTTGGCCTACCTATTAAACTGATTGTCTTGTAAGAAAGAATGCTATCATATAGTAATGATGCAAAAGAATATATTTGTACCTAGGTCATTCTGAGAAGTCGGTTAGTGTATTGATTAGTAAAATTAAAAAGATATTCTAGAACCGGTTAAATCTGTTATTTGTTCTTCATCTTTCCAGTGAAATTGTACTAATATTTGGATATATTTAAGTCATATTCATTAGCTTCCCTTTTTCAAGCTTTGAAATTCTAAAATTCATTTAAAATTTAGAAAAAAATTAACAGAATTATTATGGACACGGAACGTATTCATCGATTGATGTAGACCAGTCATCCATTTCTTGCTGCCATTTTCTGTCAAAAATTAATTAAATAAATAACTATCAAAAACTTTAATTAAAAAAATGAAATAGCTCGGTAATATTGCACTTATGTCTCAAACGAATGCTCATCAATAAATTAAATATTTGGAAAAGTAAATACAACCCAAATTTTATAAATTTAAAGATAAATAGTAGTGGAACCCACCTGAACATGGTGACGTATTGGCGTTGAGCTTCCGTGCAAGATTCCAAATCTGAAATTAGGTATCAATATACAGTATATATGAAAAATATATAACAAAAATTTACTGCATGCATAAGAAAAAAACTAAATACTATTCTAATTTGGTAGTGGTAATCATACTAGTTACAAATCATGAAAGCTGCAGTCAAGTGCCCTCGAACGACCACGCAGGTTGAATGTCAACGCTTTTATGTTTGTTGTATGTTGCAGTTTATCAGCTGTCCAAGTCAGAAATCATAGCTAGTTTTTTAGTTCGGGCTCAAATCGGTCTAACTCTAAAAGGATATTTCTCGTGAATTAACTATTTAATATACCAGTAGATGTACCTAGTGGAGGGGATGTTGTCAATGGTTCTTCAGTTTCGGTCGTGTATTCAGTGGTACTTGTAGTTGGGGCTGATGTTGCAGTAGTTGTACTTGAATGTGGATCTGTTACAGATACTGTAGTTTGCTCATCTAGAATAGAAATGTAAAATGAATGTCATACTGACTAAAACCGAAATCAAATTTTATTTGTGTCTGAAGTAGTTGACCTACCTTGACATGCGGTGATATCCCTTTCCCAGGTGCACGTGGTTGATTCAACGTCAAATTTTGTTCCTGCTGCACATTGACGTTGAATGTAGTTATCTGAATACAAATCGTTTCATAGCAGAATAATACACTCACGGCAAATTCCACTCACACATTTGCGGAACTTTGCGTCAACGTGCGTTTCAGAAACATTGTTTTGAAAAACTCACCATGAACACATTCATAATAGTACTGCACACATGATGTGACATCAAAAAGGAACCTTCTTCCGTTTGGGAATCCTCCTACACCACATGGATTTGCAGCTGTAAAAATATGTTAATTAATACAATACAATCACAATACAATTAAAAAATACAATCAATTTAATTTGATAAATAATTTGGTAGTTAAATCAAAACGAGATACGATGGCCAAAACAATTAGGCCAGTGGTACTAAATCTTTTCTCTTTTTTGGCCCATTTAGGTTTCGACAATTATGTGGCCCATAAAGTTTTTCTTATAAGGGAAAAACTACAAGAAAAACTTTTTTTTTTCTGCAGAAACAAAATAGTTAGTATGAAAATTGCCACCCTGTAGCAAAAAACAGAATCATCAATCCATGCATATCATATAATTTAACTAAATTTATTAACAACTCAAGCAATTTTTAATAAGTTTGTGGCACATCTGGAAATATTTCTGTGGGTCTTGGCCCACTGGTTGAGAACCGGTGCTTTAGTCTAATATAACCACTCATTTAACATGAATAGGCACAGTTTTTTATTACATCGTATTTACAATACAAATGATATAATGACATTTGTGTATATGTACGCATATGGCCTACGGTTTCAAGCATACTTCACGATGTTGCAACCCTAAGTCTGTTTCAAACGTGAAGTAAACCATTTAAAAATTGCGTGATTATGTCAATCCTTGGCTAGTAATAACCTAAGTTTTATTGTTCTGTCTTGAAGATAAAAGAACAGAGTACTGACATTGGACAATTGGTGGAATTTTCAAACTTTTTTAGAGAACTATATTTTTAGGGTAAATATGAATACAGAATATATATAGAATATATAAAAGAATATAGAATAAATATAGAATACTCCTTCTCTGCGGCTCTTTTATATACCTCTGTTTATCACAAAACCGAAGTTACAAGTGCGATTTCATCTTAGTTTAGTCTAATTTTGACTATGTGTCTTAAATAGTCATCATTTCAAGCTACACTTTTGCAGAACATATAATTCCAAACCTTCGCTAAAGATAAACACCGTTCATGTTATTTGGGTATTTAAGTATGCTCTGGAACTTGGCATAAAAGATTATGGGTTAGGATTCGGTTATAATTTTAAGTTTCGGATCGCGCCTAAAATAAACTTGCTCAGAACTTCAATAAAAATTGAATTTCAAAGAATTTACTTGTTGAATCTGATGTTGCAGTAGTTGTACTTGAAGAAGATACTGTAGGTTCCTCATCTAAAAATATAAAATACTGATGAAGAATGAAATTTCATTGTCAGATCATTCACACAGACTGCCATTCGTGTCTCGAACCAGTTGAGTTGCTTATGGGGAAAACAGTATGATTCAATTGCAGCCGCATTCATTGCAATCTCTAATTCATCAATCCTTGTGTCCGGATCGATTCTCACATAAAATGTAGTTAATTAAGGTCAAATCAGAAAAGGTGAAAGTCAAATATATTTTTTTTAAATCAAAATTGATTTTGTCATTATTCATACTTTGTGACTTGAATCAATAAAAATTCGAATACTTTTCAAATAATCAGGCCAGAAGTCATTCAGATATGTTAGAGCAGTGGTTGGCAAAGTTTGTCAAGTGCGGCCCAAATAGTATTGAAAAGGTTTTAGAATTCAACAATTTCGATGGAAATTTTAAATTTAACCACGTTATAAACTTGTTAGGAGACATTTAATTTGTAAATAAAAGTAGTAACGTACCGGTACACGTGGCGGTAGTATTGAAAAGGTTTTAAAATTCATCAATTTCGATGGAAATTTTAAATTTAACCACGTTATAAACTTGTTAGGAGACATTTAATTTGTAAATAAAAGTAGTAACGTACCGGTACACGTGGCGGTACAAAGAGTAAACAACCGAACGTAGCGGTGTCGTTAGCTTGTACAATTTTAATGACGCAATACAATAAACGGATATGCAAGAATGAACATACTAGAATAGTTGCAATGCCGGTACTAGATTTGAACGTAAAGTATGATCGTTTGATATATTAACAAAAAGCATTTGGCAAAATTTTTTTATGTAATGTTGGATTAATAGAACTTTTTTGTGTATCACTGCCAAAACTAAAATTTATAGGAGGCCCAATAGAAAATACTTTGCGGCTCACGATCGAGCCGCGGCCAACAGTTTGCCGACCATTGTGTTAGAGCCTGGAACAGGAATAGCAACCAAATTTAGAACTATTTCTTGTTAATGAAAGTCTAATCTTCTATTCAAACTTCGTAGGAATTTTAATAACCATTCTACCTTTTATTGAATAATGAATCCTACCTTGACACGCCGCGATATTTCTTTCCCAATTGCACGTGGTTGATTCCACATCGAATTTTGTCCCGGCTGCGCATTGACGTTGAATGTAGTTATCTGAATAACAATCGTTTCATACTGAAATAAACACATCCACTTACGTATTTAGCAGAATTTTGCTTCGTTATGGGTTTCATGTATTTTGTTTCTAGAAACTCACAGCTTACTTACCATGAACACATTCAAAGTAGTATTGCACACATGACGTGACATCAAAAAGGAACCTTCTTCCATTTGCGAATCCACCTGCATCGCATGGATTTGAAGCTGTAAAAATATGTTTATTAATTGAAATGCAAGAAGTTAAACAAGAACTGTGATAAAATAAAAATAAAATTGGTTGTCCTAATGAATTGAACATCATAAGTTTTTTTACCGATTGCAAACGGGAAACCATATAGAATAGATAGACGAAGGAAAATTAGTTCTAATTAATTCTGAGTGAAACACTTGGAAATATTGTAATTTGTTCGTGGTTCTCTATCATTTGCTAAAGTCATTAATTGATAATACATAGACACATACATTTAACGAATTATGGCAAAACCAATATGACGTATCCGTTACGCTAATGGCGCCGCCTTTACTAACAGCTGTATTTACCTGAACCGCTTACTCCGAGATCAAGTTTCAAAATAAAAATATCAGTGCATCAAGTGAGGACAGGGATAATACGAAGGAATATAACGAAAAATAAAATGTTACTCAGGAAATGTTTAAAAATAATTTTTTGTTTAATTGCCCATGTAGTTGATATAAAAAATGATTGAAATAAAAAATTCAATCAATATAATTTGATAACTAATTTGGTAACTGGGTCAATATGAGATACGATGGTTGAAATAATTAAATCTAAAAAGTCAATTCACTCTACAAGAGTCGACAAAGATCATTTTTATTAATGACGTATTTTGTTATGCGTTGTTCATAATACAAAGGTAGCATGACATTTGTGGATATGTACGCATGTACGTAAGACCTTTCACGCATACTTTACGATTCACATGTAATACGATCCCAAATGTGACGTGAACCATTTAAAAATTGCGTGACTGTGACAAACCTCGGTTAGTAATGACCTGAGTTTAATGTCCTATCTCCAAGATAAAAGATCTGAGAACTAACATTGAGAATATGAAATTTCTAATTTCGTGAGAGAATTAATAATTTATAAAATGGTAATCATTTTAGATTTGGCGCAGTACATATAATTCGAGGTCTTCAGAGAATATTTAATTTGGGTAATTAAGTCCACTTTAGAAATTGCCATGAAAGATATTGAAATAGGATACGGTTATAAGTTAAAGTTCCGGATCGGATGTTGCCTAAAATGAGCTTGTTTACAACTCTAAGACAGTTCATATTTGAATCAATTCACCTGTTAGGGTGGATGTTGTAAATGACTCTTCGGTTGTTATAAACGAAGATACTGTAGGTTGATCATCTGAAATATCAATGTAAAAAATACTAATAAAGAAGTGAATTATATTGTCAAATCTTTCATTCATCTGAACTCATCCAGAGATAGCGACCCTTTTTTATTGAATGGGCCAACAATTATATTTTTATCGCGGAACAGAAGAGAGTGGGTCACAGATATTTAAGTAATGTTTGTATATGAGAAACTTCTGAAAGAAATCATAAGCTTCTGTTGATGTAGTTTTGGGCTTTACTTATGCACTACTTCTATCATTGACGTTTTATGGCACTCGATTTTATGAAATTAGAGTACGAAAACACGCATGTGAATTACCAAAAACATTTAGGAATATGAGGCAAATTATTTTACGGTTCCAAAGGGTTTCCACCCTGATAGGTATATAATTTTCGATCGACTTTCAACGACATCAAGGCACGTTTACACTTCTCCACTGTTATTTCAGATTTTCAAGTTTTTATTTCAAGTCTGAAGGATTTTGTTTTCTCAGTGGCATTGTAGGCGAAACCCCTAAAACAGGTTTAGAAGGAGAAAAGATGTTGCGAGAAATGAACATATCAGTTGCATTGTTATGTCATAAACTATGTCAGAGCCAATAGCTGAATAATAACGGTACACAGCGGTGCAGAAATGCGTCCAAGATTAGGGGTTTTAAAAATTACCATACCGGCCCGGAAATTGACAATTTAAATATGAGCGTTCGCAGCCCTGACTGCCCAACTGATGTTATATTATAATAGTTTAGTTATTGTTTGATTAACGGCCGGTTTTATCATTTTTATCACTGATATAATAGATTTCGTTATATTTTATTCGTGCCTTGGCGGGTCACGAATAAAACGCGGTGGGTCACTTTGTGACCAGCGGGTCAGTGGTTCGCCATTCCTGGCCTATAGAACAGTAATAGCAAACAATATTTAAAATTTTTTTTTGCTAATAAAAGTCTAATTTTCTATTCAAAATTCAAAAAGATTTAACTCAACCGTTCTACATCTGATTCGATAATAAATCCTACCTTGACATGCCGCGATATTCCTTTCCCAAGTGCACGTGGTTGAGTCCACGTCAAATTTTGTTCCGGCTGCGCATGGACGTTTAATGTAGTTATCTGAAAAACAATCGTACTAGAATAAAACACTTCAAATTCAAATTGTGTATTCAACTAAGTTGTTTTAAATAATTCACACTCACTGTGAACACATTCGTAGTAGTACTGCACACATAACTTCTCATTGAAAAGGAACCTTCTTCCATTTGAGAATCCTCCTATACCGCATGGATTTGCGGCTGCAAAAATGAGATTTTGTATTATCCTCTAATTTTATTGATATATAACATAAAAAAAAATGATTCGTTTTTTTTTGTACAGGCATTGAAAATATTTCGAAACAGTGAAAACTCTCGATTACATTTGTTCGCCCACAATATGAACGGACATAATTCTTTGCAAAGTCAATCATTTATTAGTTATCAGCACTGACGTTCAGTTGAAGTGGTAGTTGTTGCCGCTTCTGAGGTTGTTGTAGAACTCGTCGAACTGGATGGTGGATCCACAGATGAAGTCGCTGTTGGAGACGACGTTGGCGAAGTGCTGCTGTGCCTAATTTCCAACGTAGTACTGCTACTCGAAGTACTACTTGTAATTTCAGTAGTAGGAGGAGAAGTGGCAACTGTGATTAAAATACGATGTTCTTTGAATATCTTTTCAAGAGAGATTCTAAACATCTTTTGGATGGGATAAAGTTGGCAAAAATATAATGACTAAACCAATTTTATATTTATAAACAGAACTTATATTAATAATAATAAATAAGTTAAGATACTATGCAATTGATAATCACAACTTTTTAAATATCATCCCTTTATTGTCACGAGTACTTACTTGTTGTGGGAAGAGTTGTCGTTCCGATTGTAGTGGTAGTTGTGGTGGTTGTTGTGGTAGAACTTTGTGTCGCAGCAGTACTGTTCGCGTTTTCTGAAGTAGTACTTACCGGTATTGGAGTTGTTTTCTCGATAGTTACTGAAGTTGTGGTAATGTTATCTATAATATTTTATCAATAGCAAGAATTCAAAGAAGGCCAAAGAATTCGAAGATTCATAAGAATAGCTATTTATGAAAGAATTGGGATTCATATTTACCAAGTCGGAAATCTATTCCATCTCTCTCCAAATTTGCGCATAAGTTTTCATGGCAATAATCATCTGGAGATGCACATTCTGTACATGGAGCTCCTTTCTCAAAAAGGGAAGTTAGGCTGAATGAAATATAACAATAAATTAAAGCAGTAAATTTGTCGTAGCCATTCTGATTCTCACTATACAGTATCCCTGTGATTGTTGCATACGGATCCACTGACAAACAGGCAGAGAAAAGGAGCAGTAATTATAACACTCTTCTCTATTTATTCAGATAACATCGTTGATGTTTAATTTTTAAACATCTGATACCTGTAAAGATTTGTCGATTTTTTTGAAACGGTCTTCACGCTTTTATCATAATATAGTATATATTTTTCGAGTTAAATACCAAATCGCAAATGTGCATGATAACTGTATTCTATAGGTCTATTGCTTTTCATTGAAGATTTTGAAGCCCTTACGTGATAAAATGGCATCATGTGGCATCGAATTCTACGATGAATCTATTTATATTTCAAATACTCACTTATCCAAATCTGGTAATTCCCAATAATGGCAAACTATCAAAATAAAAGCAGATCCTCCCAGCAGTCCAGCTTTTCTGTAAAATTACAAAATGGGATGAAATTAAATTGAGTACACTGTGAGTAAGGCTTTAGCGTTGTTCGAGTTGAGTTACAGTAGGCAGCGACCAACAACAAACCCCTCAGATTGACTTTAAGTTTTCTGTAATTTGAATGAAATATAAGGGCTGTATGTGATGTCTTATTCAAATTTATTACAAAAATATTTTATTACAAATAAAATTATATCGGGTTTCAGTAATAATTAATAAAATTTTCGGAGAATTCTGCTTTTAGTAAATTAAATTTCGAATTATATTCAGCAATATATTTTCTATGAAGTTAATCCAATATATTTGTGCATATGAGCTATCTTACTTACCCTGGGCATGTAGAAGCCCCGCATCCAAATTTATATGTATTGGCAAAAACTATTTGAATATAATTTCTACATGTTGAATTGCAGGTCTGTGTATCATAGTCGTAGTTCTGAAACTGTAAACGCAACATGTATGTTTCATATAGTAACGTTTAATTAAACTCTAGAAGTGGTTTAAACCAGGAGTGTGCAACATTTTTTGTCGGCGGGCCATATAACCAAATTCTGACATCTAGCCGGGCAATTCAAAAAATTCAATATCTCTCGAGTACACAATGAATTGAACATTTCTCACCACAAAAAAGCTATAGCTTAGTCTTACAGTAATAAAGGCAAAAAGACGAAAGACTTAAAATTATGGATTTTAACCCGTGTATGCGCTTTTTTGAACATAAACTGTCAGGTTAGAATTTGATGCTTAGTGGGAAAATATCTGAGTGTTGACAAGGGCCATACTTATTGTCTTGGCGGGCCGGGTTGTGGCCCGCGGGCCGCCTGTTGCACACCCCTGGTTTAAACTATAAACTCTTGATCTAAAATTGCGTAGGTGGCACTTTTCAAATCGCGTAATACAGGGATGTGCATCCTGTGGCTCGAGGGCAAAATGTGGCTCACAAGGGAAAATTGTACGGCCCGCAGAGACGTGCCACTTTTGAATTGTGTGCGGCCCGCGGAACGAATTTTCAATTTATTTTAATCTGTGCATCGAGGAATTTGGATCACGTTGAATAAATAGTATTGAAATTGAATCAGTAAATATTTCCACAGCCTTGAGACATTTTTAACTGAAGGTCTAATAGCCAAAGGTGTCATGTCACTTTAAAAGTCATTGTTTATACACCTATTCTACCTATAATTTTACAAGATTTGTCAAATACAATTGTCTTGATAGACGCTTTTCATCGAAATATTGCTGCGTCAAGTTTGAGGGAAACGATAAATACAAATATTAAATTGTGAATAGGTATATATATATATAAGCGAATGATTTTACAGAGATTTGTTTGAAATGAAAAGCGTGAAAAAAACATTTTGTCGTGTTCCAGGATTTGAATATTTTATTGGGATTTCATTTACATTATCTTGCAAGGTCTTTTTGTATAGCTTCTAGTGCGAGTCAGATATTATGGTTGTTGGGACTCAACGATTTGTAAAGGCTGCTTTGATCATTACAAAATTTGGGCCCGCTTTGAGCATTTTAATAAATCAGAGTGCATCTTTAAGTTAACCAAAAGATCAGATTCTTGCTCATTTTAAAATATTGTACCTCATTGTACCAAGCTTCCGTCACAGCTCCAACGTTATTATCAATTGACGATACAGTTGAAGCATACATGTTTTCTCCGTAGCTTGCATTGTTGCTGTAAGTCGGATACTCACATTGCCTGAAAAATGGATACTTGAAAGTTTAATTTGAAACATGATCTACAACATGAGTTTGAAGATTCATATCGTAAATCCAAAATAGTACGATTAAAACCAATGTTAAAAAATCGAAAGGCTATTTCATAAGTATATGTATCTGTTTGAAAAAGGCAGTCATACGAGTAATCACATTTGGCAATAGCTTCTCATTTTTATTTTTTTTTATATCTTTATAGATATTCGTCGTAAATAGTAATAATAAACGTAAATTATGCATATATATTTAGGTCTGAAATTAAGAATCTTGCAGTGGGATAAATTCTGTCTCATCTATTTTCTCTACCCTATCTTTTTTTCAAACCAACACTCAATAATGGATGTCACATTATCAGCTTAAAGGGTTCTATACTGTTTGCTTATTGCACCTACATTGCATATTCTCCAGCAGAAGTTGCATAAAATTCACTCCAAGTTAAAAACCTCATGTTGCTGGATCCTGCATTTTTCCGATAATTATTATGTTTGTCCACCAACGCTTGTTGAAGGGATGGTGTCAGTTGAATAGCTGTTTCTGAAGTTTTCAAATTAGGGCAAAGCATTGTAAAAGAGGAGTATACATCAAATTTCAAAAACTTGAATATTTATAAAAAGACATTTATACGCGAAACCAAGATCTCGATCTACGACTGAAACGTCAGGATATACTAACGGACCATGTTGAAATGTTGTATAACGTAAGGCGTTGGGCGTAAGCAACAATGAATACTTTTCTAAGGCATATTGGCATATCAAGTCAATATGCACAAAGTTTTAAGTCATTAAAAGAAAATTACACATGTCCAAATTTTCTGCACAACAGTAAACAAATCATTGGCGAAATTGGCTGACGAAACGATGAAAAAGTTAGTTTTCTACATGGAACAGGGCCGGAATAGTTTGGAAAGACAGAACTATTCCAACCTTTCAATAAGTTTATTGAAGCCACTTATATTGATGCAGAATAAATAGTTTAAAGCTAGTTGTCAAAAGAATATTTGGATATATATTGTTTTTCCAGATTTATCTGGATGCTTTAGAAAAGGGGTGTGCAATCTTTAATACAACGCGGCTAGATAAAAATAACTGGGTGAAACCACGGGCCGCACCTTTATTTAACATAGCCCAGGCTTTCTAGTGCTTGTAGTCACAAAAATTGTTGTTATTGATCCTATGACATGCGTTGTTTGCTTCGCACAAACTAGCTGTTAGGGCATTGTGACGCCATAGGCATAGATAATCAATTGAACTCCGATATGGGTTTTGCAACACAAAAGGACTGGAAATAGCCTACACGCACGTACCAGATTGAGCTAAATCACAAACTCGTTTTGCAGGCCCCACACCATTCAAAATTGGCACGTCCCGCGGCTCGCATATTTTTTTCTTGTGGGACGCTATTGGCCCGCGGGCCACAGGTTGTTCTCCCCTAATTTGTAACAATCGTTTAAAAGCAGTTAGTATGTGTGATGTAAAATTTCATCATCATTATGTATGTTTTGTTTTTCAAGAATAAAATGAAGATGTGTTGTTTTTTTTAAGTAAATTGCCATTTTAATTGCTAACAAATTGCACTATTTTTAAAATAATACTCATAAAGGACTTACGTGCAGTGATCACTGGAACAATAAAGAGCATGCATAGTAAATGTATTCTTATTCCCATCGTTAATCCTCCTGTAAACGGGTACAACAAGCTTCGTCTGTTACTGTTATCAAATAGTGCTGTCTTATTTTTAGAGTTCTAATATCATTTCCAATGGGCGCGAAGACGTGACCATTAATGAATGACAAAGAAACCCAACTTTTTTTTATCGTTTCTCTATTTGCCCAGCATTACGCTCCATCAACCGTAACAGTAGTTGGAATGACGATTTCTCTGATTTCTACAAATGTGACCGTCTAAATGCTAAAAATATCTTTTATATCCTGATATAATATTCCAAAATATGTAATTTAGTCTTGGGTATAAATTATTGACCATAACTTCGGATGTCGTGATATTCTATTTGATTTAGTATCTATTTGAATCTCAGATTGGATATATATATTAGGAATCAATTTTTTGTCAAATTAAAAACTATAAACTTAAAAACTCGAAAACATTCAATAATATGAATTTAGAGTACGGGTTATACATTTGAATACATCAATAACGATGCATGTAATGTGTTTGGTTAATTCATTGCGAAAAGTAGGGAGAATTTGCTGATATTTTCAAATGGAGTCATAAATATTGTAAAGCAGCTAAACCTACTTTCTGTATTTATTTTTACTAGAATATGTTTTGTGTTGTCTTCGATAATTTTCTTGTATCACAAGGCGCATGTCGCAGTTTTGGACATGAAATGTAAATTTTATGATTGGTCGACATTGTTCAATTTATCTTATGAAATGGATTTTGATCGCAACATATTTTATTCTGCAAAAGTCTTCAGTTCTCGTTATTTTCTTCTTAGGACGTCCTTATTTATGACACAATTAGAAAACACTAGACATTGAGGTTAATCAAACCTGGTCATTTTCCTGCAGCTAAAAAGCAATCTCACTCATAACTAGATACTAAACGGGCTTGAAATAACGTTTCATAAAAAATCAATGACCTCTACTTACGCAACTATTGAATATTGTAGATTTATTCTAGACCAGGGTTTGCGAACCGGGAAGAATCCTCACCAATATTTGAGGGGGTTATTTGTATTTACATGTAGTTTTGCTAATACCAAAGTGCAAGTTTTTGGTGTCATTATTTATTGATACAATAAATATTAAACAACAAACGGTGGAAAAGTTTTATGTATATAGACAGGGGAATAAAGAAATTCAAAAACAGGCGATAGCGGAAGGCATTGTGAAAGGTTGTGAGTCAATATTCTGGAAGATTTATAAACTTATTGTTTTCTTTTATTGCCTTGCTCTTATTGTTTGCGAGTGTTAAATCATTGAATTCTATGGTTTAAAAATATTCAGTATATGACAAAAAATCTCATGGTGATAAAATTATCTGTTTTGTCGTTTTTTGAGCAGAATTGTTTTATCCTTGTGGTCGTAGAATGTCCCATTTCAAACCAAAAATGACAAGTTATTTATAGACCACAATTCATCCAATTGTGCAAAATGTTTCATAAGATATACGAGGTGTGGCTAAAAAGAAACGAGACTGACGTCACAGATTGCGCAACACGATTAACCATTGGTAATCAACACTTTTACAGTGTGGTGTAATATGTGTTCTTTGTTCAACAGCTTTTTTGACACAATATCGCAATTATTTTTGCTCTTTAGGAGCCATAGGTGAATGTGATTAATTGCTTGTTGAAAAAAAAATTGCCGTGCGAGATCTGATTGAGTTTTTTGGCGATAGGGGGTTCAATTGCAGAATGACGATTGAGCAATGAATTAACATTAAATTTTGTGTCAAACTTGGAAAAATGCATGTCAACTGGGCAACATTTAATCGTTGAGCTTTCTGCTCCTCAGTCAACAGCCTTGGCACCATTTTGGCACTCACCTTTCACAAGCCAAAAGTGTCAACCAAACTGGTGCGAACCGTTTTTTTTTGTCTTTTCCAACTTCGCAATGACGCGAATTGTTGAGCGACGGTCGCTGCGAATCAACTGCCTTTCACAACTGAACTCACAACTGATACCTTTTCGATGTTGGTATCAGTTGTGGAAGTGCAAGGCCTTCCTGACTTCGAATCATCCTCCACATCCTCCCTGCATCCCACAAATCGCTTGTGCCATTCAAAAACTCTTGTTCTGGACATGGAAGAATCTCCATAAACATCACACAATTTCTTCAATGTCGCAGTCGCCGTTTTTCCAAGTTTGACACAAAATTTAATGTTAATTCATTGCTCAATCGTCATTCTGCAATTGAACCCCCTATCGCCAAAAAACTCAATCAGATCTCGCACGGCAATTTTTTCTTCAACAAGCAATTAATCACATTCACCTATGGCTCCTGAAGAGCAAAAATAATTGCGATATTGTGTCAAAAAAGCTGTTGAACAAAGAACACATATTACACCACACTGTAAAAGTGTTGATTACCAATGGTTAATCGTGTTGCGCAATCTGTGACGTCAGTCTCGTTTCTTTTTAGCCACACCTCGTATTGTTTATTAAAAGCTGTATTGTTGGAAATCATATTAATAGCATGCAATATTAAATGAAGATGTTTGCACTCAGTAAGGTCATCAATAGGGTGAATGATTTCCAATGCCTGGTGATCCGTACTGTATCGCGTACACGGGTATCGCACGCGACGTGAGATGGCTACACTACAAAATGGCTTTAATGCCAAACATTTCTGCTTTCCGATGTCGCTTCAGTATACCACTAATGTTAGCGTCCCCAATTTATAAAAGTCAAAGTCAGCACAATTATAAAAGTCCTCGATTTTTTGGACACGAAATGTACATTTGAATCGTTTTGCAAGATTGTTGTTGTGGCTGTTCTTGTTGTTGTTACAGTATTTTTCGTTGTTATAAATCTAAAGCAAACAATCGCCCTGCTGTACAACTATCGCACCAATCGATAGTTAACTATCGCCCAACATTGACCCAAATTTTTCTGTTTTAATTTAATCCACGGAAACACTCTTTATATGACATAATATACACACCTTCACATGATACCTACAAAACATTTTCTGACATTAGCCTCTGTATCCATATATTTGAACATTACTCTCTTGGTATTTAATGTTATTCTTACGCATGTGAGTTATTGCGTGACAGTTTAGGCGTAACTTGTCTGCGACGAACGTGGAATTACGGTTGCCTGATTGTCGTTAAACATCTTTCAATGTTTTGACAACACATGTCTTTCAAAAAACTGTTATTTATACTGTTCCGTTTGACCTAATACATACTTACGTAGTCACCAAGGTGAGTATCTCAATCTTTTAATATATGTGTTTAATTTATATAGTGCTGACCTGATTGTATTGCTGCTTTTAATTGCTGCACTTTTCGAATTTTTAGATCTCTGATTTAGCATTTTTGGTGAAACCAAATTTAATTTGAAAATTTTCATCATGTTTCTTTCACTTTATTTAAATATTATGAAATTATGATTTTAAACGTTTTCATATACCGGAAAAGTGTAATCAATTCAAAGTACAAATATCAATTTCCTATTTCATGCGTTGGTATTTCATATTTTCACACTTTCAGATGGAAAGCATGCTCAACACAGCGTGTTGATAAACAGTGAATAGGTCTACGACATATTAGAAGTTTTTCTATCTTATTACAATATTAAACGTAGAATGCGATTAGAAATAAGTTCGATTTTAAACTCAAAATCAAGTCTAGACTTTTTAGAAATTATGTTACAAAATGTTCAAAACATATTATTCCAATACATTAGATTGCCATTTTTGTTCTTTATTTTTCATTTTTGTTCTAGTTTGTACTTCATTGGCCAATCGTTTGTTTATTCACAAACATATTTCCCATTTACATAATGGTTACCTACTTGGATACATGACACAAAGGGGTAACCGGACAAGAATCCCGGGTTTGTCATGTGATCGGAATTTTTATTGGATTTCCTCTCTACCGGGATAAATATGAAAGTCCTGTCCTAAATTTACCTGTTGTTCTACTTTTAGCTTTCCTTATTTATTGAGTTATTCCGGATGTCTAACGTTATTACGTCAAGTAGTTGGAGCAATAAAGCAAATCAAAGCACAATTTGAGGTTAACAGGCAGTGGTAGGATTCAAGGTTTCGCACGGTTGTTCTTGGAATATCTTGGCATCAGCAACCCCGTTCTTGTTACTTATCGATTGTATTACTTATCGATTTTAATCGGTTAGTATGTTGATAAGTATTTGTCTGTCTGTATGTCTGTTAGATGCACGCGATATCTCACGAAAGCAAGATTGAATCTGCTCCAGATTTTGCATGTGCATTAATCTTATCTCGGACCAGAAGCCTATTGATTTTGGGCGAATTATGTAGTATAATTAGCGAGTTATTAATCAATTAGTGATGGGACACAAGGTGTCACTATGGAGTAAGAGCGCTGTTTTGGGGGATCCCCTAACTTTCGATCGATAAGTCTTCGGTCTCCGACCGATATTCTCGTTTTTTGTTTTCGTCGTAAATGGGAAACATGCATCGCATCTGGCAACTAGAGTGTGTTATTAGGCGTTTCAGAAGTTATGTATTAGATTTATTTAAATCGTGTCATAATAACGTAGCTTACTTGATGACATACATACATTTTCTGAATTAAGGAAACCTGTTGTTGGTAAGTTCGATCCAAAAAAAACCTTGAACCTACCTCATCACTGCTTACTGGCATTATATACTTGAATAATTGTGAGATGGATATTCCCTAAATATTTTTGTTAGCAAAAAACGATCGCCCAATATCTGCAATTTTGATATGTGTTGGAAAATAAAAAAAACAATTTGATAACTCAGTAATATATCAACGTGAGTGATGTTAAACCAAATTTTGTTTTTTCGATGTCAAGTCTGATAAGAACTCGACACGTAAACTATGCCGAATTGGCGATAATGCAAATATGAATCATGGTAGTCGGCAATCATCTGCGTGAAACAGCTTGTTTTGAATTTATTTAATAAGTGGTGACATTTGTATTGATGATGTGTTTATATTTCAGTATTAGTCCAATTTGAATAGAATAGTAGCAGGTTTTCTTCGATTAGTCTATGATTCCGTAAATTCCTAAGCGATTTACTTTTTAAATTATCCGATTTGTGCCAGCCGTCTACCATACATAGCGAGTGCATATGCAGCGATGGGCACTAAACCTCGAGTTGCAAGTGAAGTCGATTTAAAGTCACTCGAGTCCTAGTTAGGTTTCAAGTATCAGCAACTTTCGGTTGCAAGTCAACAATATTCTAAGTGTTTACTAAATTATGGTCTAACTCTATAACCCTGTACACACACTACGAAAGTATCGAAATTGTGCCAAAAAATCCTTATTACTTCTAATTCGTGTGAAATTGAAAACCCGAAGTTGTGCGTAAAGCATATTGGTATATATTTGGTTATCTTTTATCTTAAGCAGAACTTAATAGGAGAATATATAAATGCATCATAAACAGTCAAATAAAAACAATAACACAGAGCGCTAAAATTATCCATGATGAATACCTAATATAAAATATCTTTGGGCGATAAGCTCGAAAAGTATTATGAAACTATCTGGTAAAAGTGATTTTTAGTAGTTATTATTTGAAAGTAAATCCATAATCAGTATAATGTTAAACACGGAGATCACAAGTTAAAAACACCGAAATAAAATGGGTGCAAGGTATTTAATGTAGTGGGTTATTATTGTAGGAACATCGACATAAATTTGTGATAGAAAACGAAAATTCAAAAAATACAACTGGAATTGTAAAATTTATTTGACTGCAAAAACTGGTTTTATCAAGCTGCTGGGTAGCAATTTTTCCTAACTTAGTTTGCATTTCTGTGATCTACAGCAGGTATAAAATGAAGCACTTGCAATTTATTATATTCATAAACAAATCGAGATCAAGAAAGATTATATAACAAGTGGAGTATGATAATTAACAAATTGGTTAATAATCGCCATGCTCGATCGAAGCGTAAGTTTACTGATTGCATGACTTGCATAACTTGTTCATCTCCTTTTGCCATTTTTCCATAGCTTTCTTCCATTCTCTAAAAGATATAAACAAATTATAATCAAAATTGTTTATTGTACACAAAATGGACCAATTGTTGTTGTTGTTAGTATTCTTTTCGTTATTGTTATTAAGAAATAATCGCCTTTGTCGTCTACTACTCGTCATGAACCAAGTCCTTTGAAATTTGCAGTGTTTAAAATCGTTGTTGTCCATAGAAGTCTATTACTTTTATTTATTTCAAAGATTTCTTTCGACTCTATGGGATTTGTTTTTTTTTTTCCAAAGTTTTGTGTGATGACGTCATCAAAATTAAAAATAGAGCACCGTGTGGCGGTTCCGCGATCGCATTTCAGCGATCTGGTGGTTAGCGAGGTCGAAAGTTTTTGATAAGGAAGACTATCGGTAATGCAAATTGTTTTGTGTCCATATATGTTAGCAATACTCTCTTGTTTCTTGCTATTTTTTTCGAATATAAATTCGAATTATAGATAGATAGTTGATTACCTACATGTGAGGAGTAGATATAACTCTCTTTCAATTCTCGGTTATGAATATTCCGACAATAATTTTGAGGAAATATTTTGCTTAAAATATTTTTTACATTTTTAAACTTAAATGTCTTAATGAATCAAAAATTGATCCCAGCTCGGTATTGGAAGTGAATAAACATCTATGGTCTTTGTTGTATTTTGTTCATTTTTATTGAAATATTCCTATTTTTAGCATTTCAAAATTATAAAAGTCTGTAACGTTACCTGAGACTTTCTCTGTACTTTTCTTGGGTCACGACGCAAGGATTTCCACATCCTACAAACAAAAAAGAATATAAGCAAATTCGCTGGGTTGATATATTGTGATAAAATTCTAGTTGAATGTCACAACGTATAGAATGCTATTGAGAAATTTTATATGTACAAATTTTCCTGAAATAAAACATAGCGCTTCATCCAACTTCGTTTATTTCATTGACAAGTACGGAGTAATAGTATAGTGAAATAATTTTCGGTGCAATACATTTTGAGTTTACTCACGGCGCCAATAATATATCAAAAAATGATATTGATAGTATAATGGAATGAATAAAAATAAATCACTTGAAATTGACACGTTTATTTAAACAGAAAAGAAAAAAAGATGCCATCAAACTCCAAAGTAACCGTCAATAATTTTTTTGAAATAAGGTCAAGTTCCCTATAAGCGCATTTTTCACTGTGGTTGAACCCTGCACTTAAATTCTGTAATAGACATGCGTGCAAACGGAGATCGTTCATAAATATTCATTTCCGAGCTTAAAGTCCTATGTTCCTTGTAATAATATACGTTATATGATAAGTTATAAATATCCGACATATTGGACTTTTTGACATTATTTACACCCCAGCATTTTCCTTGTATTAATAGATATCCCCATTACATGTAAGCAGCAATTTTCGCTCGGACAATAATTGCGTGCCAGTTTGTAGTTACAATAGTTACAAATCATATACCATGTCATTTTGTTAACTTGTCAACATTTACTAATAGCGGTCTTTAAGGGGCTTTTAACAAAATAAAAAATGTCGTACCAGAATGAAAAATATAGGGTGCGCAAATGTTGAATGTGTACCTGTTTAAGTTGTGATATGCGTAAGAACATTTGAACAAAGCAATTTTATTATAGTTATATACGATTGCGTGATTCTATATGTAAGTCTGGTAATATCCTAATAGGCCACCATATCCAGACCTCCATCTCACGAAGGGTTTCGTTTAATAACAATCCGTTTGTATCTATACAGAACTATTTTAGGAATATTGCTTTAAATTGTGTGAAACTGTGACCCAGAATTATTGGCATTAAAAAAATATTTTAGTCGACGGAAAAATACGCAATATTAATACATATTGAACTTTCTCACGCGAGATGACAGTTACATTGAATTTCCATTAAGTTTTCATACTATTTGTTGCCGTAGTTTTCGGGTCATTGCAAATGAAATGAAGCAATTGACACAATAAATGCAGTCACAAAATTTCGAGTACCCTGGTCCCACGTTGCTATATCATCATATTAGGCAGCAGCATCTAATTTGTTCTGGTTGTATGCTCACGACAGACTATCTTTGTCTACACTGTGAGAATCATTCAACAAGTGCGCAAGAATCTCGGTTTAAAAACCGCACTCACCAATTACAAGTTGGCGTACGCGAGGGTGCTTTTATCGACCAAACCGTGAATGACAGGAAACTTCCTCTGGTCTCAGAACACGCCTCACTGTCACGGATGCATCCACGGGTAACTATATTTATAAATGTGAATTTATCTCGCTCGTAAAAGCTTTTACAATTAAAAAAGACGATTAACAGGTGCTTGCTTTGCTAAATAGCGGATCATAGGGTCAAGAAGTTTGAAGTTCTGAACGTTTGGAGATCGAGTCACACGACCGCCGCCGTGTATTAGAAAAACAGACCTAATTTTAAAAGTTCGATGTTGGTATAATATGTTGATATATATAATTCTTTTAAATTACTCATTATATATTCCATTTTCTACAATGCCTCTAATGTCTTCGCGTACTCAATGGTAAATGATTGTTAAATTCGCGCTTATTCGAAGGCAAATTTGTGCGAAAAATTAATTGAAACTGTCTGTCACAGCACGCACCTATTGCAAGGCATAGCCGACTGAAATGAATAAAAACGCTCTTTAATTAGGTCTATTCGTAAGTAAATTTAGGTAAATCATATACTAAGCCTTGCATTTTTTATTGTGGATGCTGGCAATTACGCATTTGAAAGAATACCTCACCATCACTACCAGGACAGTTTGTTGGGCTATCTGTTGTGGAAGTCGTCATCGTTGGAGTAGGGTCAGACGTAGATGTAGTATATGGAGAAGATGTCCCATCAGATATGCTTGTGGTAGTGTAGGACGAGGATGTCCCACCGGAAGTGCTTGATGGCGAGTTACCTTGAGTTGTCGTACTCCATGATGGACTTGTTTCTATAATAAATATTGCTTTTGTAGTAGTTTAACTTATTTTTGTCGTATGGCTGAGAACACTCGGAAGTATGTTGTTTAAATTCGTATTACCGATGGCAGCAGAAGTAGTAGTAGTACTTTGGCTTGTTGACGTGGACAAATGGCTTGTTGTGGATTCACTGGTACTAGTTGTCGTTGATGCTGCCGTAGTTTCTAGAAGCAACAACAATATACAAATATTATCAAAGCACATTTTATTCACTATTCCATGTCTTTTTTCCTGCAATTGGCCATTCCAGTTAACTTACCAGAGACACGAAAGTCCTTTCCGTCTTCTGCAACATTTGCACAAAAACTATCAAAGCAATAGTCGTCAGTATCACAGGCTGAGCATGGTTTGCCTTCAGTGAATGGTCGTTCTCTGTTACAATGTTCGGTAAAAGTGTGAAATATAAATTTAGAAAACATTAAGGGCTACTGGTGGAGAAAAATTGGGAACAAGATTTACGCTCCCGAAGTATGTGCACCATAACCTGAACCCTAACCCGGTGCACATACTATGTTCAGGTTGTGCGCCATCTTGGTGCACATACTTCTGGGGGTCCCAAGATTTTGCACACAAATTATATTTCCACACTAAAACACAAATAAAATAGAAGGAGCGGAAATATGAAAATTTACATATTTTTTTTAATTTATTTCATACGATATTACGATTAGCGATTGTTTGGTAGAACCAAAGCATGTATACGATCTTCCACCAGACCTGCAGTTTGACCCCGCCCACTTTTGCATCAAATAAGCATTGCGTTATAACTAGGACGGCACAATTCGATCGGAAAAATTCTGCCACGACACTCACACACTGATATTTACCGAACATATTTTTCAGCGACTAATCAGTCTAGCTAGCGTGGAGTTCAAAGGTCGGGTAAGTGTCTTGTTTATTCCATTCCATACTAGCTAGCACGGTTCGATCCCACACTGGAATACTTTTTACTATCAATGCCCATGCTTGTTTCATATTTTGGTTTTACCAACTTTTGGCGGTAGCTCCATCCAACATTTCCATAAAAGCATATATGCCCATCTTCCATATTTTATAAACATTTAGTAATGTTTAATTGTTTAACAATTTTTTCACTTTGCACAGCAAGATAATATAATTACGCAGTCAACTAACTTTCATTTTAAATTGTCTCATTTTACCCGTTTTTTGCTTTTTTAAGATTTGTTTGGATTAAATTAAATAATCCAACTCGAATTAATTCAAATTACTGATGACTAAATTACCACTGAGACCTACGATACACCACAAAACGCTCAAATAGAATATGTCACTTACCCAACATAATTTCCAGGAGGACTATAGTTGCATGCGACTAATGTAAAATCATTACCACCTAAAAAGTTCCCACTGAAAAAGCAAAACAGTTTTTAAATTTCATTCACAAAAAATGTATGAGATTTGTTTCAACCTGCACGAAAGGATATTGGAAAATAGTAAAATATTTCAATTCAACATTGAAACACTTTCTATTGCTAATTACATAATTCGATCGAATTTAAATATTTTCGGGATTTTATTATTGCATAAATTTAAAAGTAAACTAAGTTTTCAATCATTTCCATTAAAATAGAAAAATAATATTTGTGAGATTTTTTGAAACTTATCCATGTGCTATAGCTATACAGACAAATTTTAATTAAAATGAAAAACCATAAAAAACGTATTTACTCCATAACAGGCTTTATTATAGTCAATGGTTATATTAAACAATCTATATATATATATATATATATATATGGTTTATACTTTGTCGGGGATAAGTGCCTAGTGCATAAAGCAAGAATTGTATTTGGATTTTTTAATTCGCGTTTTTAATTTATTAAAATGAGAGTAAATAAAACTTACGTTCCTGGACATCTTCTAGCTGCGCAACCAAGTTTATAAGTTGACCACCACACCACTTGGGTATAATGGCCACAAACGGTTGAGCAAGTGTTGGACGATAGGTCGAAGTCTGATATCTGTAGTAAATAGATTTACAATAAAACTGAAATGCACAAAAGAAAATTAAAATTTTGAATAGTATTACCTCGTTATGCCAAGATGTAGTAACCCCATCAATGCTGTTTCCTGTACCGGCCCATAGATTTTCTCCGTAACCACCGCCTGAGCTATGCGCAAATATGCATGTGCTAAAAAAATACTTATTTGATTAATAGGCACGTTATATTTATCATAAGTATGGATGTAAAAAGGCATACAGTACTAAATGTGCTCACTCTACAACGCTCTGGGCAAAGGTGGCGAGTGTGTCGTCCCATGTCATTATTCTCATATTGCTCGCACCAGCAGCTTTGCGGTACTCATTATGTTTTTCCAAGATGAATTCTTTCGATACTTCTATCGGTCCAATGGCATCTGAATGAAGCGTTATTCCAGTAAATGACTTATGTAAATTTTATTTAGCACATTATTTCAACTCATTTTTGTTGAACTCAATGTCGCTCATTTAAACTCAAAATTACTTAAAATTATACTGATAGATGTTGTGCAAGTATTGTTGATGTTGCATAGGATCCAATTGTTTAAATGCAGTTGCCCTTGAAATCAATCGACTAGTGTTCAATATTATTCGCAATTAAATTTTGTTCAATTAAATTGTGAAAAATAGCAGAACATTTGTTTGGAACTCAATACCACTCTGTCATATTTTTCAGCCGGTTCTCAAAAATCGGTGTCTCCTATAAGATGGAAAAATCCATTGACAGTAACCTATAATGCTGAGCGGTTCGCTGATCACACAAAATTTCGTGAGACGGTTCTATAGAAGCGGTGCGAACCGGCTGAATCCCACCACTGGATAGAACTAGATGTCGGATATTAGTAAACTTATACTGTACTAAAAAAATATAGGTACTTACCGACAAACGTTCCAGTTAACGCAAATAAACAATGCATCGTCAGCAAATAAAATTTCATGTTGAATTTCCAAGATCAACCAATTAAAAATCAAAAATTATCTCTATATTTAAAACATAGTGTTAGAATTTTTTGGTATATTTACAAAAACTTTATACTACACACTCGAGTATCTGCTGGCTCGATAAGACGGGAATATTAGAAAAAAATATGACAACATAAGATTGATGACCAATTTTCAATTGAAAACCTTCCAGTAGTGGCATCGGCTGCTTTTTACAAATATATATGTATCTATTCTTGATACCGACCCACATTTTCAGCAAACTAATAAATCTTTTTCAGAGTGAGTTTCATAAAATTAGTCACAGTTGTTCCATTCATATCTGGTAATGTGAAAAGTCAACCTACCTACGTATTGTATACATTAGAAGGATTTAGCCGAATACCGTCTAACGACGAATGAACGCATGTAAGCCAGGCGACGGTTTTTATAAGCCCCGTTAAGGTCGGATTTACGCTCCATTGGTCGCCACAAATGTATCCTGTTCCCTACCTCAATAAAGTGACACGGTAAATGATTGATCTTATTATAATCATGGTTAAACTAACTCAATGTGACATGAATTCATCAACTGAATTTAATTCCAGCATTACTAACGTTACCTATTTTGATATAGGTAATAGTTGTGTGACCCACGACTGCAATTTCAGCAACAACGCTAATACTTATGATTGTAAACTGTTAATTAAAAGAAAGTTCGATAGTCGTTAAACCAGGGGTTCTCACTTGTAACTAAATTTAACCTTCCTTGATGGTGAATTTTGATAGCTTCAGATGAACGTTTTTTATACTCCACCGACCAATGGAATATCTGGTTTCCTCTATTACATCGGTGGGACTCAAAGTTCAATCTAGGTGGCGAGAGAAGTATCTGCTGTGTCATGGAGCCATTCTAATTTACATTACAGAAAAACAATTGTGTTTTAATATGATGAAATATATGTTACCAAGTTTTATGGTCCAATAGAAATGAAAAACAAAAATAAAAATGACATTTTGGAATTGACCACGAATTGCGAGCATGCAGAACCACGTTTCTTTCTCATTCATCCCCCAAAATAGGCATAGGCATAAGTTTCATAACTGATGCCGTGAACTTTATTTGGCGTAACCGAAATTTTATTATGTTTTCTCTGAAAGGAAATGTGTTCGAAGTCATGTGAACTCTGCACAATTCATTTTAGACATCTACAGTCTACGTCAGATTTATCATTCGCCACGGTAGGTTAAATGAAGCCTATAGGGGCCTAGGCCAGTGGAACTCAACCGCGGTTCTAAGAACCACGTGCAGCTCCCAATCATTCTTTCTGCGACTCTCATTATTCTTCAAAAATTAATCATTTTCAGCGAAACTGAAGTGCAGTCGTTGAATTATCGTTTTGGATGCAACTTTTCAACTCTTTTATTATGAAACCATATATGGTATTAAACCAATGTCAAGTTTAGCGTTGAATGTTTTTTTCATCCCGAGTTCTGTTAATTTTGTTATTTTAAAATACCTACTACTCGAGGTTTGTTTTGTTGCTATTTTAATTGGGTTTTTATACAACTCCTTACCGATTTAAGGTTTGAAATTTGGCTCTGACACTGAAAAAGGTTGAGAACCACTGGCCTAGACCCTTGAGGAAAAATTTACTTTTGAAATTCGTGAAACTCGTAAATGAGAGACTGAAATATTAAGAACCGATGCGGTACAGGCAAATGTCAAAATTCTCTGTAATTTACTTACATTATTAGTCATCAAGATTTGGAAATGCATGCTGAATGTATGCCTAAATGACTTGGGCAGCATTCTAACTTTTTCGAATACCATTTTCATGTGCATGTTTTTCACGCTCATGTCGATAATGACCACAAATTAGATTGTCTAACGTGCACCAATTCACGCGTTCAAATTATCGGAAACGAGAAAAAAAATTCATAATTCGTTACATGTTTTTATGGACTATATACACATTCGACATTGGTAATATCTGACTCAGATGACCGTAAATGCTCGTATCGTTACCACCCAGTCCTACCGAAAAAAAATTGATTCATTCATTTTGGTATTATTATTTTCTATAATATGTGTTTTCTAGTTGACGAAATAATAACTTCTCTCTCTCTCTCTCTCAAACCTGATTACTCAAATTCAAAAATCTTGTGACGTGAAATTTTTGCCGAGTATAATTATATTAAACGAAATTGGTGACTGTACTATCAGAAGATCTCTTCTAATGTCAAAATCAGTTCAATTATGTATTACAACATTATAGTACAGAACAAGTTTATCTAAAATATCATTATTCCTCGCTGTTAATAATTATAAGATTTTGATATTTCCCAATTTCAAAGCGAAAGTCAAAAGTACAAGTGCAGAGTCATATTTTTCAGTCGTCGTTATTTTACGATTTCACCAAGGATGATGGAAAATGACGAGTATAGTAGTCAAAATTCAGTTCCATATTCTTCATATTTGGAATCCATTGCCGGGCTTGCCAGCACCTTACGACAATATTATCTTTGTTATGTAGTGCTATTTTTGTGCATGATTTTCTCGGTGAGTTGGTCGTGTCTAGGGATGACCGACCTTTTATTTATTTTGAAATGTAATACCCGCCAGACATATGCGGGTGCTCCTGAAGTATGCGCACCATAACCTGAACCCTAACCTGATACACAACTTGTTCCAGTCGGTCAACCAGTTCAGTTTGTGCGCCATATTGGTGCGCATACTTCAGGAGGTCCCATACGCGCCACTTGCGCTAATTGTCATTCGTTTTATTCATTTTGACTTGTATTTCTTTGGGGGGATGGCCCACTTATATAGGCCTAATTTTTATTTACATCGACAGTTATATGTATATATATTTACACGTTCATTTCAATTCTTTATTTAGATTATAATATTATTTGTATTTATTTTTTAAATACTGTGTTTTTAGCAGATCATGGGAGAGTCGTGGCTCGGTATTGAACAATCAATTTAAAATCAGATTCTCCTTCGATTAAACGAGTATTTTTTATAAATGTTTGAAAATTTGCCACACTGTAATTGCATGGATCGCATACTGGTGATTAGTGGCATTTAGCTCTCTTTTTCAAAAATCTGTGACTTTGCGTAGTGTATGTATAATGCTTTGTATATATCAACGTTTCAATATACAATCAAATATGTTCCGGGATTGAGACTGTTCTCTAGTCACGTTCATCGACAGTTCAAGCTTGGGATGGAATAATTTTTCAAACAATGCAAACGCGTTTACAGTGTTCACTGATCTGTTATGATATTGGCGTTGTTATCGAAAATAAATACGATGCATTTTGTACAAAAATTGTGAAAATAACTAGGTATTTCACCACTTTTCTACAAAATCACGCTACTTGTCGAGTAGTTTATTATTAACTACTTTTAAAACCGCTTTTCCCACAGACAAGCAAATGTCAAGTTATATCCCTCGGATGATAACCACGGATTCTAATTTACAAACAACGTCAACGCTAAAGAAGCTGAGAAAATAAGTGCGCCTAGTATAATACCAGTATAATAGAAAAAAATATATATATTAACATTCGACCAAAATAAGATACGATACTATGAAAAACATGCTTTCATTTTCAGATTTTGAAATATTGTTATTTGATATGTCATTTTTCATTTTAACACTCTTACCGGCATAGCGGCAGAGTTTTCAATATTGTCAGAATTATTAAGCACATAATGCCATTTATGGCATTGCATTCTTAGCGCATTGAATCATTACTTCATTCACTGGGATTATTGGGGATCTAGTATTATTGTAATAGTATCGCCAAAATAAGAAAATAAGTACTTATCCAGTTAAGATGAGGGTTATGGTTTGGAATGCATATTGCACTGGAAATTCAAATTTTCAAGTCATTCCCCTAACTCCAACCCTAACTGGATAACTGCTAGTTTGTTATTTAGAACGTGGCGTTGTGTTTCCTCAAATTTCACATTTTTGCATCATTGGCGGGGCCTTTGTACCAATTCTCTTAATCATAAAAGTATTATTTTCATGAACGTTCAAAAATTGGTCACACTGTAATTGCATGGACCTCATACGAATGATTAGTGGTATTAAGCTCTCTTAGTGAGCAATCTGTGATTTTACGTAGTGTATAATTCTGTAACAACTTTTTAGCAAATAGGTGAAAGAAATTGAGACTGTCGACGCATTTACATTGTTCAGTGACCTGTTATAAGAATCACATTGTTGTCGAAAATAGTTACAATACGTTTGGTCCAAAAATTATAAGGATAACCCTTCTTGTAATTGTAATGACCACCTTGTAATGATAAACCTGGAAGATTGTCTAGTAGTTTACTAATACTAACTACTTTATAACGCTTTTCCCATAAACATGCAAATGTCAAGTTATATCCTATACGCATGAGAATCACAGACTCAAATTCACAAACAACTACAAGACCAAAAATGCTGACATAGGTAGTGTGTGCGCCCATCCTGAAACTTTCAAATAGACAAAAATTAACATGTGTCCCTGCCGTAGTTTATTTTCGTTTTTTAAAATATATATATTTTCTGTCGAAGTTTTTCATTTTATATCTCGTGTGTATAAAGAAAATCAGATATTACATTTGGAAATGATTCTTCATAAAAGATACTTGCAATTGTAGCTTGGAGAAAATTTGGAAATTATAGATATTTTTTGAGATATTGTTATCTCATATGTATTTTATTTCAACATAACAGCAGAGATTTATTAAGCACATGATGCCATTCAAATCTTAGAACATTGGTTCATTAAACCGTGATCAATGAGAATATGATATTGATGTAACAATTGCGGAAAGACAAAATAAGTTTATCTGAAAAATCAACAAAAAAAACAACCAACAGCTTTTTTACCGACTTCTCTGTAAAAGATGTCAATTTCGAAATTCCTCCCTGGATAATGAAGTCACCGCAAATTGATACCTCGTTAACGATTTATGGTACAACATGTTCACCAACAATACTTCAAACGTCATTTCTTGACCATATACACGAAAACTATCGAGACTATGTACAATTATCAATTACTGACGGTTCGAAAAATCCATTTGGCGTAGGTGCTGCATATTATGTGCCTCAAGCGAA